ATTTCATTTTAATTAAAATTTTTGAGGAGGATTTCTGAATATTTAGAATACATACTTTACATGTATTATTTCATATTTTATATACAGAGGATTAACAAGTACATTATGTCTTTCAACTGATATAGGAAAGCTCACTTGGTAAAAGAAATTGGCAATACAAATTTAAGGGCAATAACTCAAATATGAGTAGGTAGTTATCAGTTTCACCATCAGGTGGCTCATTCGGGTCAGATAGCATGGGGGTATAGTAGAACGTTCCCTCTAACTTTAATATTCATCAGTTTTAGTGGTTCAATTTTGATATCACCCTTATGTATCCAAAAGTTATGCAAATTAAAATATGTCAAGTAGAAGAAAATATTATCTGTCCAATACAAGAAAAGATATTTCACTTTTTGTAATTTTATAACGTTGGGTCTCTGGGGAATCTCCCCAAACTAGTCACATTTTCAAAGAAATTAAATTTTCAAAGTTGATAAGCAATTTTTGAAGCCATATTTCTAGATGTACTTTTACATATTAATTTCAAATATGATATCACTTTGACTGAATTTTGAATATTTAATGACCTAAATCTAAATTATTTCTACTCAGATCTAGTCTATTTCCAATGAGAAAAGTTTCATTTTGTAACTACATAATGCTTATATTTAGATGACTATGCATGAAATCATACACCTGATTTATTAATACTAAGTAGAATGGATAGAGAGTAAAGTTTTGGAAGCAATCTTTTCAAAAAGATGCTAATGTTTCCCTAACAATTCTAATTTTAATTTCAGAATAAAGAATGAAGATCTCTGATCAAATATGGAAATTATTGAAAATTTAAGGTGCAGAAATGTTCAAATTCATGAGAAAAAAGGAAGTGTCCAATATGATTTACAAGATGACTAAAAATCAGAGGATTATCTTGAAATAAAGTCAAAACTGTTTGACCTTTTAGGAAATATGCATGCCATGGTTAGTGCTCAGAATGGTGAAAACTTTGAAAGAATTTTTGGTTAGGGGGGGGGGGATTAGCTCGAACCTATCGAACCCCCTCAGTAAAATCTCAGTAAAATTAAGAATTGATTTACCAGCAAACCAGATTTTACACTTTTTCCAGCAGGTCTTTTTAATATACCTTTGATTACAATATCATTTGCTGCAGAGAATGTGATATGGAGGGAGGAAATAGAGTATCTATCGAGTAATGATGATGACTAAAAAGAAGTTGAAACAAATTGATTTGTATTGATTTCCATTTATTGGCAATAAGTTTTTATTAGTGTGGTCTTTAGAATTTCTCAATATTTCAATATTTTCCAGGTTAATTTTGGTAACTCATTGTGTGCTTTTTAGAGAGAATTCGGTAATCATATTCTGTATGCTTATGTCTTGTCTTATACATCCTTAGCATAGTACAGCTGCTTAATTGGCAGAATAGTTGCTAAGTTCAAAGGTGCAGTGCGTTTCTGCAATTTTGCTATCCTGAAGATTTAGCTAGAATAGCTAGTTAAGTTGAATATTTAGAATTACCATTTAAAGTCTGAACTTCACCAAAAAGGTGGCTTATTAAAGCAGATATGAAATGGTATTTTTAACCTTAAGGAATCAATATAATTTTTTGATAGATGTATTTGGACATGTTTTCTCATCAGTAGTGTGAAAATTTTTTCACTCTAACGATCGTTATAGCTGCTTAATAAGCAATATTCGAATTGGTTGTGACGTTATTGGCCTCCACATGATCTCTCACTGGTCCCCACGTGGCCCATTTTGGTCCATTAAATCATGACGTCATAATACCAAGATGTTTTGTTATTTGATTACACAACAATCCTATGGTTGCCGTGACGTTGTGATTACTAAGGGACCAATAAACCAAAGCTATATTTTGTATATGACGTTACTAATCACGTGGGGGCCAATCTGATTGATCAGTTAGTTTTATTTCGGTATCTATGACCGTTAGCAGTTATCTTACATTTATTTTTAAATGGCTATTGCAAGAACTCCACGTTGGGCTTACAATGGAGAAAACTGCATTTTTGTAGCTGCAAGTTGATAAAAGCTATTTCAGTTGTCCTTTAATGCATTTCAATCCCTCTTGGCATATACCCAGGGAGATATGCCGAGTACTAAAATAGTACTCATGGCATTTTAGCGCTAATTGAGTACTCATTTTTGTAAATATTAGTACTAAATGAGAATAAGTGACTCATAGAATAAGTACTAAATTAGCACTCGTAGCATGAGTGCTCATGAGTGTGCTTTTAACAGAGTGCTAATTTAGTCCATATCTCCCTGTGTAGCCGATCTGGAGACCTAAGAAATAATAATTTGCAGCGTTTTCCACAGGATTTTTTTCTCAAGTGGGTGGATACCAAATCTCAGGTGGGTGCTGCACCCAATTGCTTTAATGCTGGGGAGATACTGAATTTGTATTGTAATTTTACATCAAAATTTTCATGTTTAAGCAGAAAAGTTGGTGTTTTTTACTTAGTTAGAAAACAATTTGATTCCATATATATTGGAGTATGAGAGAGGGATTAATTCATTGCTGACCAAAGCTATTTTGGAGGTTTTCTGCTGGTGACTGGCTATATTGATTAAGAATTGAGCAAAATTGCATGTTTTAATACTTGCATTAAATGGACAGTATCAACACTCTCTGTGCTGTTTTATGCAATTGTGAAGCCAATAAAATATTTTAAGGTCTCCAACATTTTTGTGGATGGTGGTTGGTGATGGTTGTCTGTAACAAATGGCAGGTCGTGACATTTTGCTTGTTAATGCATTGTTTTTGTTGAGATAAAAGACGTGGTTCTCTATATTACTGTATACATTTGTAATTGTGTTGTTATTAAAAATCACTTTATTGAACAAAATGCGATAAGTTAGTTTTCATTTTTATTTCAACAAATAATTTTACACTAAATTTAAATGTTTAATTTTGTATGCAAGTGGTAATCGGCGAAGTCTTCTGTGGTGTCTGAGGATTTTGAAATATGATGTTATATGAAGTATGAAATTATGGGATAGGCCTGTAGCTATATCACGTGGAGCAAGTCTGAAATGCAAAGAAAATGCATTTAGAAGTAGAACAGTAAAATCAAAATATGTACAGTTAGATTTATATGTAATCACCGAGATTAGAATTATTAGAAAGTTAGAATTGAAGTACTTGACATTTTTCAAAGATGCTTTCAAACAATATTTCAGTAAAATGTTAAAACAGAAACTAACTTTAATATCCATATTCATATCCCTGGGGTGCCACATATCCATTGGGTCCAACAACCTTTCCGGTCTGGGCATCAATGTAACCACCATTGTCTCCAACAACTAGACCAGATGGGGACTTGACAACAGCTTTGTTGGGTCCAACATTGGCATATGGATAGCCATCTCCATATGGGACGTATCCGTAACCACGGGCCTGGTATCCATAGCTTTTGTATCCATAGCCATTTCTGGGATATCCATATCCGTAGTCTACTTTGCCATCACGGTTGGCATCAAGGGAATCTGGGACACCATCACGGTTCTCATCATCTCCGTATCCGTAGCTACGGGGAGCAGCACAGGCAATGGCCACAAGGGCGAAGAGGCACACAAATTTAAGCATTTTGAGAGAGATTCTGAAACATGGTCATATTAAGAAATTTAAATCAGGAAATCTTTATATTTGATTATATTTTGATTATTTTCAAAAACTTAAATAATAAGGCACATATTTATTTCTTAAATAGCCTAATTGTATTGTATTGTATATTAATTGCTTACCTTGGTATCTGTCTGACCTGATAAAGTGAATGATTTTCAAGTGAAACTTTGAGCTTTTATACAAGTCACACCGGGCACTCCAAGCAAGAAACCCAACCTAACAATCCCAAATGCTCCTTCAGGCCTATTTTTATTAATAAAACAGCATAGATTAATTTATATTAATTTCTCTTAAACAAGGATTTATGTTTTCCCATTGTATGTAATGAAATGTAATTAAGCCTTTAGGAGTAGTCATTTAATTAAAGTTTTGGATGTGAGGATTGAAAATTTAGTTTACTTGACCTTTCATATTACGCAAGATGTGTATTTTTTATTTTAGAGGTGCAATAAAGGATGCAGGCAAGCTAATGTTTAAGGATTTAAGCCTTGGACTCGGTGCATTGTGTGCTGAACCATTCCATGAAGATGTTGTTTCCAAATCTTTGCATGAGCCTTCAGGGGGAATAAAAAGTTTAGGAAACAACATCTGAGTGGAATGAAACAGCCACAATGCATTGAGTCCTGGGCTTAAATTCTTTTCACACATTGCAAAATATTTTCTATAAAATCACCTAAAAGATACAAAACCACTAAAAGAACATATTATCAATGAAACTTTTTGCAATGGTCAAGTATTGGAAATCTCAATCTCAATCGTTTAGCACCTGTACACAACAAATGCGTTATTGATATTTCACACACTGTTCATTATGTGAATACTCTGTTCGGATTGGCTGGAATCGGACACACCTTGCCTAGCTATGTGTGAATACTTTTTATTGCACCTTTTATATTTGTGATCAATTTGGCAGGTGGGCTTCCCAGGTTTATATTGTATTCACAATTCCAGGCAAATCTTTTGAGGTATTGATTTTAAATGTTCAGACATGTTTCTTGTTGATTACCCGTTGAGCTACTTGTTAATGTTTTGAGGTGGTCATTTTGAATTTTTCAATTCATTTCAAATTTTCACTGGAATGTTTCTTGGTATGAACATCAAGAACTGAGAGACTTGTTCTTGGACAGACTTAGTTTTAAACTGTAGAATTTACTAACTGTAGAATTCATTTCAAATTTTCAGGAATTTTTCGGAATGACACTAATATTGGTAGCCTTATTCACATTTAATTTGTCAGAACTGCAGAAGCAGTGGTATTTTAAAAACTGCCACAGTCTTTGTATTTATACAGAGTGTTTATAATTGTGTATTTGTGAACTGGTGTATTGATTACATTATGTATTCACAGGCATGGTTCAACAGACAAGTTGCAGAGGACAATATTGTGATAAAGAAGCCTCTCTTTGAAGTTAACAGCTTCACAGCTAAGCAGGTAGGTTTGCATACAGCGTTTGATTTGATTTGAAAATTTGAAATATTTATTTTGGGTAGCTCTATCAGTTAGTTCACTAATCATGTGCAAGTCATTAAAACACACTCTGGAAGTTCACTATCAGCATGCTTGGAAAGTATCCCTGTGATGAGTGGTAAATGCACTCAATGAAATGAGGAATTAATTCATCTGTGTTTGGTTTGCATACAGCCAAAGATTGCTCATTCTCAAGCCCAATGTCCTGTTTAAGAACCCCTATTCTAGCTTTCGAAAATGGATTCTAGCAATACTATCCCACATGAATTTACTTGTTGAGACTTGATCCACTTGAGTTCTTCTGAGAAAATGAGGATTTTAGCAAGGGTGCATTGACTCAAAATGGCGACATACACCATTGACTATTGACTTAGCGTGGGGATGCCATCAAGTATATCAACATGTAAAGTCAGCGCACCCTTGCTGAAATCCCCATTTTCCCAGAAGAACTCAAGTTGATCGAATCTCAACAAATAGATTCCTGTTCGATAGTATTGCCAGAATCCATTTTCGAAAGTTAGAATAGGGGTTCTTAAACAGGACATTAAAGCTGATTTAAGGCATTTTTGAAATTATTGTTTAGTACTATAAGTTTCTAATTGATATTGTTGAATTTGTTTAGATTGGATCTGATGCCAGGGTGAGGCTTGAGTCAAAGTTAAGAGAGGCAGGGTTACATAACACAGACTATGCCAGGAGTATGCTGAAACAAATGCAACCACCTCAGGCACCTAGGAGAGATATGGAGTCTACTGTCTTCAAACTGCCGAAACCCCAAGATAACACATAGGGCACCAACAAAGACAGCTTGAAAGTATTCAGTCTCATTAACAGAACATTCTTAGCTACAAAAATGTCTATTCAAATCAATTGTTCTCACCATGAATATTAAGACAGCATGCTTCAAGGACAGTCATATCATTTCATATTAGATCATGGACGTTAATGAATGGATAGGAAGGAGTGGAATATTTTAGGAAACTGGTCTCACTCAATGTAGTTTCAGTCCAATAAGGTGGATATGCAATTTTTTTGTTCAAATATCACAATCACCTTATATCTAACCATCTCAGAAATAATGCCATATGTGAAGCTTATTTGATTCTCTTTGGCTTGTGCTAGAGTTATTTTTTATTTTTTCGTAACTTAATTGTGAAAACTACAAATCAATTTGAAAAACAAAGGCCAAAAATCAAGCAGCACCATTCAAATATGACGAGTTTTACCTTATAACAGTAAGCGTAATCTCATGTATAAAGGTAACCATATAAATCCCATCTGAAATTTTCTCACCTTTTAAATGAAATTATTTTTGAGATGACTGAACAAATGATTGCTGAAATGCCCCTGGTGGATAAATAAGGGGCAAGACCATTGGGGTCAATGGGAGAACTATCCATTTGTCCATGTTCATAAGATGAATGAAAAGATAATCAGTTACCTTTTGTTTTAAGTAAAATAAGGTATTGATCTTTGGACAAACTTTTACCTTTATTCACGAAGCATTAAAAAAATTAGGTCAATTGCAATTTCAATTTTAACGTTTACAAAAAGATGTCATTGAAACTGGAATTGAGTACAATGAACTCTGGTGATTTTTAAAGCAGTTTACAAATGCTGGCATTTCTGTAAACTTTTGAAACACATGTATGTTGATGTTAATGCTCAAAATGTAAATAAACACAATTAAATATTTATAAACTGTTTCTATTTCTTATTTATACAATGCTATGTTATAGCTGTTTACAACACTGACTTCATTACACGACAAGGCATGACTAAATTGTGGTAGTATGCAGGTTGATTGAATCCTCTATTATTGAATTGTGTTTTCATGTAGATTCATTTTCCTTGCTTAAAAACTGACAAATGAAATAAAACTGTGCATGTAATATCAGATGTATATAAGTGTCACTCTTTGGAGAGGTTTATCAGCAATAACTTTGGCAAAATTCTGCTTTACTCTTGTAACTGCCAAATACAAGCAATTACTGCAAAAATTCTCACATTTTTCACATTTGAGGCTCTGTATTGAGTCAAATAATAAAGTCAATGTCTCCTCAATTTACAATTTATCCTTTTTAGGATCATTCAATATTGCCTAGTGTCCACTTTAGATAAAAGTAAATATTCAGTGTGCACATTCTTTCTTGTTCCTATAGAGACATCTGAGATCTACTTCCATAGTTTCTTCACGGACATATTTTTCTCGGAATCCTTCTGCATGATCTGGAAGAAAATTAAATTTTTAAATCAAATGTGAAAATTACACACAAATTGAATTCAAAAATTCCTTCTACATTTTCTATTCAGATATCTTATTTTGTACTGTTGGTTTTGCCATTTAATTGTCAAAAGATAAAATATAAGGGGTCCTATTTTCATCCACTGGTAGAAGATACTAATATCTGAGTGAGTAAAATGAGTGTCATTTCTCTATCAGTATCCCATTACTACTGAGATTCTAGGTATATAACATGCAGGAATCTATGGAATCAATCCTAAAATTTTGGGACCTAAGGTAGAATGTCAATAGAACCACAGTTTGTAAGTATATCTTTTGTGTACAATCGGTTTCGATACAGGGTTTATCCCTCAAGACATATGTGTATCTTCCTCGGCCCTTACAGTTCCTCGAGAGATAAACATATTTCCTTAAGGATAATTCTTGGATCCAAACCTCCCAGTATATAACCCTTATATAGTCAAGGGTAGATCAAAGTTTAATTTTGAAAAAATGTACTAAGTCATTTCATCCCATAGTTCCAAAAATCGTATGAAATAATTCAATATATAACCTATATTATTATATTGGAAATAGATTTTTACACACAGTATACATCCAATGGACAATAATCTCATACCATGACCTCATAAATATGCATGCAACAGGGGTCTTACCTTTGCAACTGCTAGTTCAAAATCTTCCTGTGTGACATGGACCCTCCTTTCCCTGAGTGCATACATTCCTGCTTCAGTACATACACCCTGCAATTTAAAGTATGGGCTATGAAATGTTTCAAGAAACAAAATATGATATCTTCTCCCATAGTGCATACATTGCTGCTTCAGTACATACACCCTGCAATTTAAAGTATGGGCTATGAAATGTTTCAAGAAACAAGATATGATATCTTCCCCCATAGTGCATACATTGCTGCTTCAGTACATACACCCTGCAATTTAAAGTATGGGCTATGAAATGTTTCAAGAAACAAGATATGATATCTTCCCCCATAGTGCATACATTGCTGCAACAGTACATAAACCTTGCACTGTGTATAATATGATTTTATACAGAGAAAATATATGATATCCACTACTTACCAGGGCATATATTCTTGCTTTAATACAATCATACTGCAATATTGAACATTTTTGATCAAGACCAACTTGACTATCGTCAGTTCCTACCTTGACTTCAGCTCCAGAAGCCCCAGGCATCATTTCTGCTATTTTACGAAGATTTATTCCACGTGTGAGGTTCATTTTACGAGAGTGGATCTTGAGAATGTCGAGCCTAGCCTCCTCATTAGGGGCGGGGAATTCTATTTTACGATCTATACGACCAGGTCGAAGTAAAGCGGAATCTAGAATATCTATTCTGTTAGTAGCCATTATGACCTAAAAAGGAATAAAAAGGAATCATAGTTGTAACTGAAATGTAATTCACAGAATAGCAATTCAACTTCCATTTAATTTCAAACAATGAACATCAATAGCCTCTCGTTAAAATTCAAAAATTACTCAACTAGTTTAATTTATAATGATTCAAAATACATTTTTCTCACTGCTCATATACTATATTGTGATTATTAAGTTCAATGGCTCGCCATTGCGTGGACCTTATCAACTTATGTTTGTGTTTTTTGACCATAAGTCTGTAACATTGGACATGTAATTCTAAAGTAATCATTTTTTAAATCATTCCTAAAAGTTTCATACATGGCGCTATGAATGGAATAGTATGTTACCTTAATATTTTGTTTTGGTTCAAAGCCATCTAGCTGGTTGAGAAGTTCCAACATGGTTCTCTGTACCTCACTGTCTCCCCCAGAGCCACTCTCTAGACGTGTAGAACCAATAGAGTCAATCTCATCCATGAAAATTATAGATGGTGCGTGTTCTCTGGAACATACATTGCAGAGGAATGAATATATGGGGGGTGATCATAAGGTTTTTATTTTCCAATATATTCAAATGAATTGTGACAATGTACAATGACCAATACATCCAGCAAAAAAATTATATAAAATTTTAATATAGAAATATGTAATTAGAAATTTTGTCCTATTAAATCTTTTTTTAGCTAATTGTTTAGGCATTATAAGGTTATCACCTGGCCATGACGAAAAGTTCTCGGACCATTCTGGATCCTTCTCCGATGAATTTCTGTACCAACTCAGACCCTGACACCCTGATGAATGTACACTCTGTATGATGGGCAACAGCTCTGGCAAGGAGAGTCTTTCCAGTTCCTGGGGGCCCATACAGTAACACACCCTACAAATATACAAAGGTTTACATACAAGAGAGTCTGAGACATGTCACTCTGTATGGTGAGCCACAGATCTGGCATCGAGAGTCTTTCCAGTTCTTGATGCCATACAGTAACACATATCCTGTTATGGCTGTTAACATCAATATAGGTTTACATATAGTAACATAACATGTGAATAACAACATAGGGTTACACACAATTATCCTGCCATTTGTCATTTGGCTTTATTTTATTGCATTGGATTAAATTTTGGCTGGTTACATGAACATTTCTACATACCTTAGGTTGTGCAATTCCTAAGGCATCAAAGAGCTCTGGATGTTTCACTGGCAGTTCAATGACTTCCTTGATCTCTTTGATCTGTTTGTCGAGACCTCCTACCATCTCATATGTTGAGTCGGGCACTTTCTCCACCATCATGAGACTCACCAAAGGATCAACCTGATTCAAAGTTCATCTTAATATTTAACCAAAACTTAGATGTGTTTCAAGTACAGTTTAGTACTATGAACAAGCTTGTAAAAAAGGTTGGACTTTCAACCTTGGGCAGGATTTAGGTTTACTTCCTAACATAGCAGGCAAAAGCATTTTATCTGATCCACCTGCATGTATCATTCCAATATCGTGAACAACAGGATTATCTCTTTTTTTACTTCAATAATAATGAATAGGGATGTCACGGGACTGGACGGGACATAACCAATAAAAAAAATAATTAAACAGTCAAAAACTTGCATTTTCCGACTACTTCCAGTTTTGTTCATGCAGCACAGATCTTTTGAATGTCACAAGAGAGCTGCACGTGTTGCGCAAAAACCTGTTATCTGAGATTAATTTTAAGTTGTTTCTTGCCGATAAAGTTCTTGTTATTGTTTAAATTAAAGCATATTTCAAAGGCATGGACCTAATCCGGCAGAGAAGTTGTAAATACGAAAGAAAATTCTAGTCAAGATCATATTATTTATCGTGCATTAGGGAAGTTTTAGGGTCGTATACAGGAGAAATGGTATATCCTGAACATGGACCGAAATCCCGAGGGACGGGACAATATTGGGAAACCGTGACATTGTTAATAATGAATGACATAAATTCTTATTATATTGTAGCCCACTTTTTCAAATGGTTCTATTAAATTTCACAGAGCAATTAAACTTTTACATTGATTATCATTCCTAAACGCAACCAAAATCAAAGAATGAGACCTCAACTCAGTTTAAAACAGACCCATGCAGTGTGAATTCATGGTAAGAATATAATGTGAGCGAGATTCGAACAGATCATTTGACCATATTGGGGTGAATCCTATGTGACATTTTACCTTATTTGGAAGTATTTTGTGAAGTGTATAGCTATCATTCCTCAGTGCAACCCTGCAGTTCGGAGTGACATCACTCATATCTATATTTTTGTCTAAATCTACTACAAACTTTCCTTCGGGGTGGACCTACAAAAATAAATCATCATAATTTTACAAACAATGCCAGAATTTGCTCCAGGAAAGATATTTAGCTTAGGTTTCACTTTCATATAACACATTCAGTTCTACAGAAAGACAAAGAAAGAGATATTGACTGCAATGTCTCAAAACAAACGAATAAGAGACTAATTCCACAAAATATATTCAAACATTTACAGATTTGCTTCCAAATAAAGCAAAAGGGACTATCTAATTATCCCTCTCCAAATCAAGATGCATATATAATTGTACATGTATTTTTGGAGGATGTTTATATATTAATCTTACAATAAAGTATACATAATACATGTATTTTTTTGTTTAAACATAGCACTCCACATGCTAACATACCTTTACTAATACTTTCTTCTTATCCATTGGTTTGACAACTTCACCTACATATGAACCTTGTTCTTGTAATAACTGAAGTTCCTCCCTTAACATCCTAACTTTGGCATTCAACTCATTTCTTTGTGCTTCTAAACGTCGCAGATTCTGTGTTTTTTCTGTCACTGTGAGCTGTAGTTCTTCAGTTTTACTGAGATAATAATTCTTGATTCCTGGAATTTTGGCTGGAGCATCATCCACGTCCATTTTCTGAAAAGAATTACAACATTGTCATAACCCTGGCCTTTCTAGAAATTCAACATTCGCGTCATTGAATCAATTACTAGCATTTTCCTCAATAGATGTCTCCCTTCATACCACATGGACTACTTCAAAAAATTTCTTAATGATACAATGATTTGAAAATCACCTGTTTTTAAGACCTTATTTTAGAAAATTAGAATCTGTATGGTAAGTGAACACTTTATCTTATGTTTTGAAAAGTTTAAACTCAAAAGCTGAGGTTAAAGAGGATGAAAACTGAAAAGAGGCAAAGAAAAAAATTAAAAAAAAAATTAGAGACCAGCGGCATCCATTCTTAGCACCAGAGACTGGCACTATCAGGTTTGAACATGAGAGAGTCCGGCAGGCTAAAAGCCTACAGTGAAATTTTTTGTACAAAATTATCAATTACAGGAACAATTTCTTCATTTAATAAACATAACAAAAATTCAATTAAGCAGTAAGGTACAATTAAATGCAATAAAAAGTAACACAGCATATTTTGAAGTGGAAATAAAGCTAGTTGAAGTAACAAATATGCAAATTAATTCACTCCATCGGCCATTTTGAATAGGACTTCCTACATGTCCTAAGTGAACAAATATTTTGAATTCTCAAATCTGATATGCTAACCGATCATTTTCTGCTCTGGGGAATTTGCATGTAGGCTTGGTAAATTCAATAGTAAACCTATTTACATTGACCAATCCCTGAATGGATCAAAATTGCCAAATAACAAACGAAATAGACATCGGATCATTCTCCCTTCAAGGTTGAAGAGTCTGGGAGATCGTATATTTATTTTAATTCACCTTATAAACTCCGCATTTATTTTTCAACCTCTGGGATTATGAGCACAAGGCATTTTCTACGTATTTATTTATAGGTGTGTTTTTAATATAGATCTATGTTTTAATGTAAAAGGTCCCCAGTGCACAGCAACAAGCCTGCACTACTGGTAAAGAGGGAAGATGTCAACGCGGTAGCCCGACAGTCGCCCCAGGGTAATTTCAACATAAAGGGACTTCCTAGGGGGGTACATGGGCCAACCAGGAAGGTTCCTTTCAATTTTAAAATGAGTTGTAAACCATAGATCTACTTTTAAATGTTAAGGTTTTAAATTATATTCTATATTCAAATTCTATCACTGTTAAATTATATATCTGCTCTATGCCTTTTGCAGATTATTGACATAGACATACGCATCAATTTCATTTCTTGAGTTGATTTGAAATCCAATAATGCGCAGAAGAATATGCGTGGTAAGTTCACAGTGTTTGAAAGTTTGAAACAAGAGAATAATGTTATCAATTTTGCTTGAAAATGGCGCAATGGAGGAGGGGTTACTGACACGAGTGGGAAACCGACTTCCCCTGGCTCGGAAGAAATATCAATCAGGGAATGGTGTGTAATACTTGTATTGGTGTCAGGAAAAACAATGTGTTCATGCGAGGGTGTATTTCGTATGGTGCAAAATATTAGCCGGGAACTGTTTTTTAATGGGACTCACTTTTTAGAGGTTGGACCCACTTTTGAAAAATCATTGCATCCAAGGGACCCATTTTCGTATGATGCTATTGAAAACACTGGGTTGGTGAGGGCAAAACTGACAACTGCATGACAAAGTCGAGGGAGACTGATACATGCACTCTGGTATGAAGTTGCATACATGGATTGAAGGAAATGCCAGATGGTGAATATATTTTACGTAAGATCATTCTCAATCTTTCTCATAGAAATTGTGGAATTTCAAACCACTGATGTCTTGGAGTATTGACAAAAAGTTATCTTGGATACTTTATCTTTTCATAGCACTGTACTACTTTTTCATGGCCTGACTTCGTCGCTAACATGCTAAATATAAGAGTTAGCTGACGTTTGGGAGTCTGACTTACCTTCTAAAGGTTAGAACCCGAATCTTAATGAAACCATATCACCTTTGTTCCGTCAACCATGGAGCATTTGCCACAACATCCAAGAGGTAAATCATGGACCGAGAAAATGAATGATTTCCTTGTAAGTTCCGGAAGTTTCAATACGAAAAATTACCGAACATATATGAAAACCGAATATTTGTTCGTTATTTTCACGATTTACAAGTTCGTATGTTCTTCAATGTTTTGGTCTAAATTATAAAGCATCACCAACAGGTCTTACTCTATTAATCGACTAGTACAGCAGACGGCTCATATTTCTACGTAGCATTTCGTTCAGACCAATAGTGGAACTGTAGATCACACAGTTTCGTTCGTTGCGTACTTCACTTGAAATTGGTAATTTTAAATATTGGCTACTTCACTTAGCTTGTCTGATGTAGAACATTGCTTAATATTCTTTTAATTTTCACACCAGACATGCTTGGTTGACACGTCAACAAAGTAAAGTTTCGTGATAACTACAACGCCTTCCCAGAAGTCAACATTGATGAAAAATGAAAAAGTCGGAAAAGCATTTACACTCATTTCTATCAAATGCTATGTTTATGCATCATCATCGACGCAACAAAGGTGATATGGTTTCATTAAGATTCGGGTTCTAACCTTTAGAAGGTAAGTCAGACTTCCAAACGTCAGCTAACTCTTACATTTAACATGTTAGCGACGAAGTCAGGCCATGAAAAAAGTAGTAACTCATAATCGATCCTCAAAACAAGGAAGATTGGATGCAATTCTAGGGAGTACAAATTCATAATCAACAGTCCAAAAGATTCGAACCAATATCTCGATCACTTCTTGTGTTTTGGAATTTTTTGATAAGAAATAAAGAAGAAAATAAGACTAAATCTCACGATTCAATTTCTGAAGTGAACAAAACGGCGACTGTTTGAATTCGAATTTTATAATCGCTACATATCTATATATTACAGAATATCAAATTGGAATCCTGGGAACTAATCCTCCTTGTTTTGAAAAATATAAAAACGTCGGTGACTTGCGACTTTCGTCATTTTTACCTTTCATCGAGTCATACATAAAAAGTATCGCGTGAGCAGGGCTCAAACTTACACAAAATGTACCTATTATGATCCGGTTTAATTCTTTTGGTTTATACTACTCCTACTCTCGGTAGCTGCATAAGAAATCACTAAAAATGTAAAAATATTTGTCTCACCTGTTCCTTCTCGGCCGCCATTTTGAAGATCTCGCGAGAATTACATGGGGACCTAAACATTTTGTTCACATTACAAGAAGATTCTATGATCAATTTCAAGCATGATATTCATTAAATAAAAACATTTATTCATAGATATATGAAATGAAATTTATATTAATAGTTGAATAGTTAGTTTTACGATATTTATCGACTTAAACAGATTTGATATTATAAGTAGGACCAAAATCCAAAATGATCAAACAAAAGTCCCCACTTGAAATCAGTGATGATGTGGGAACAGAAAATATAATATTCCGTTTCACAAAGTTCACTTGAACACCATGAACCTGCGCATGATCATGGTCTACTCTAGACCCGTAACACCTATGATTGTCGGGCTATGTCTGGGCATAGCATTGAGTCTGATTTTAGCCCCCTTCATGGATGAAGATTGCCAAATGAATGTGTTGGACGTTGAAACAGGGAGAAATGTCAGAAAAACAAATTCAATCATTGAGAATGACAAACCAGTCGTTGAGGAATCTCAAGCTACTGATGACGACTTTGAGCCACATTTAATACAAGATAAACCAAAACATCCCAGTGGCTATAATAAAAAGTTTGTGCGTCCAAGATATACATCCACAGAACTCGGAATCAGAGAGAAGTTGTTCATCGGAGTTCTGACATCACGAGAAACGATAGGGACATTAGGCGTTGCAATTAACAAAACAGTTTCTCACTATGTGTCAAAACTTGTGTTCTTTATGGACAAGAGAGGTGCGAGTCTTCCATCAGGAATGTCTATCGTTAGTTTTTCAGATGACCGTCCAAATTTGAAACCGTTCCATATGCTAAAGTATATTGGCGATCATTATATCAATACATTTGATTGGTTCATGTTCATACCAGATACTACTTATATACGGGGAGAGAAAATATTTGATATGATGAGCCACATAAGTATAACAAATGACTTACATTTTGGTCTCCCTGTAGCGAAAGAGGGATCTTTTATCTGTAACCTTGACTATGGACTTATCGTCTCACAGGTAAATCACTTTTAAAATTCTGTCATACCATGTATGGGTTCCAAGTAACGTTTAGTCAAGAGGCAAAATTCTGAAAATGAGGGACATAAAATTTATTGGAGCAATTATACTGTGAAATCATGGTCAATGGTCATAGGTGTTTGTTTTGCTAAAAACCATTAATAGACCACTGTGCAATTTTAAAAGAAAAGAACCAACATATTTTAGAGTCCAAACTTTTGTTTATTTCAGAGTCTTTTTATTTAGATATTGGCAATGAATCAGTGATCTCTTGAAAATCTTATGTGTTCCACCTATCCCTGCAATGGCCTGTATCCCTCACTTATACATGAACTACATGATGTACCTTCTAAGTGATGGACTAATAAGACAATTTGTATAATTCATTGCCTTATCCTAGTACATAGATCATAAAACTATGAATCAACAGTGACAGATCAGTAGGAAGTAAACATATTAGTAGAAAGTTTGAAACAAGTTAATGTTAGAATTAACTGTACCTTGTCATGAAAATATTTGATATCGTGAATGAAACTTGTTTTTCTAAAAAATATATTGTTATGAATAAATTTGATTTATTGAAACTTGTCATGGGAGAAAACTGACATGTTTCATTTGTACATTTTCATTTTGCCAAGTTTTTATTTTCAAAATTCAACCCATACCTTAAAACCATTTTTATTTCCCGAGTTTGTACTCAGTATTTTGATACAAACATTAGTCTTGTCCTTGAAAGTGTAATTAACAAATGATAATTATTTATGAGATTTCAATTGCCACAATACTTTTAGCATCCTGTTTATAATCCTGATTATAGTCTGTGTTTATTTTTTTAGTATCTGATTTCTTTATCTTTCAGTCAATCTTATCCAAAGTTATCTCCAGTCTAGACTGGTGCAGTAAGAACACAGTGTCGGGTACCACCAGTGATAACATTGGCAAGTGTATCTTACATGCCTCTGGAAAGGCATGCACCAATCAACGAGGGGTAAGTCATATTAAAGATTGTGGAATTGTTTTGTCTTTATTGGATGCTTCTTGGATGATCAGATATCTGCTATATATTTCAGTAGATAATATGTGATTGGGGGGGAACAGAACTGCAACCTGTGAAATCACAAACCTGGGCAATATATCCTTGGTTTACCCATGGTTTAACCTTTATTTCAGGGTTTGTAAGGTTATTAAAAACAATTATTCTCTTCAGATAAGACTTATTCTGAGAAGTGAGACATTATGTATCATGATATCATGGACATTCAAGAAAAGGGTGTGCCACTTTCCAAATTCTATTGAAAGCTCATATCAAATTGAATTCTTGTTTCAGAATAAGAAATTCACCATCTACAGTTCCCCAGGATTGGACAAATCTTTAGATATTTCCTTTCTGCAGAAGTCCCATGGTTTCAATGAAGCCATCACTGTTTACAGAATGAAAGATGAATTGGCTTCTTATAGACTCCACAGGTAAAGTGTATGCCCATTTCTATTAGTTCAACTTTAGTTGCTTAGAATCAATATTTCATAACAAAGAGTATTTCTAAAACTTAAATATCAAATAAGATAAGATTTCTGTCAAAATTAAAATAATGTAATATCTAATCAGATTATCTTCAAAGCAATCAATGCCGAAAAAATGTTCACCGTTGATAGGTGTTCACGAGAGAGATGTGTTCACTAACCCAGGTTTTACTGTATATTTGTAGGAATATTACTTTTTGAATTAGAGACAAATAAATTATACATACATATATAGGTGTTGTCTATTATTTGTAAAAAAAATTTGGCATCCTCTATTACATGTTATCAGTTGAAAGATTTTTTGAAATATATGTTGTCAAGTATTTTATAATGTAATTTGTGGGTTTAAGTAGTGCATATATCTATAAAAATACTGTATTTGACTATTTTGGCATAGTGTAAATAGTTATTCCAACAGTTAGGTGTGTATGTCACTGTACTAAGGTAGCATAATTTATGATTACAACTTGTTCCTTTATATTTCAGACATTTCTGTGAGCTAGCTTTGAACGAGTCAAAAGTTGAGCTTGAGAAAACCAAGGATGATATTATCAGGATGAGTTATTCTGCTCCTGGTGGCAGGGCAAGTGCTACATGGCCAATAGGTCAGTTAAATATATAAATGTGTATGAAATATAAACCTTGCTAGGTTTGTATTTGACTCATGGGAATTTCCACCAAACAATATCATTAGTGCTTTATAATTAGGTTTATAATTTGGTTTGGAGAGTGAACAGTGTTCTCATGTTAAGGCCAACATGCCACATCACTTCAGAAATAGAAGTACAGGTGTAAAAAAAGAATGTGGACCGAACACAATTGTGATCATAACGAGCCTATAAGCTTGTATGTAATTACCCTAGAGTTCTCATACTTTTTACAATCATTAGTACCATTACTTCTAAATGCATGTTTACTTGGGGTATCTGAATGGCACACTAATTTTGCCTTAATTTTTGTGATTTTCAAAGTTTAGATGCAAAAAGAGGGAGTTATTGTCTAACAATCAACCAAATGCAATTATTTTAAAAAGTAAATGTTTGACCCTATAGCCCCCCCGGCCCTTGTCAAATATAATATTGTCTCTCCGAATAAAGCCCATATTCAATCCCTCCCAGTAAATAATATCAATTTCTGGCATAGAATTACATAATATCTGATTTTATGGGAATCATTGCATATGTTTTATGTTTAGTGAAAATATAAGTATGAAATAACTGCAACTTCAATTTGCCTTTCATATTGCGATTCATCATGTGTCATAGATATACAGCTTAGTAGAGCCTACCACCAGATGTTGCGTGAATTCCTGTGTTATCAGAAACACATCATGCAAATTTTATGCAATTCTCATGACTATGAATTATTTTTCAGGTATTCCCCCACCATTTAAACCAAAGACAAGGTTTGATGTGATTCGTTGGGATTACTTTACAGAGACACAGATTTTCTTGGAGAATGACTTCAGCAATGTCAAGCCTCTCACTGGTATGTCATGCTGTATGTAACCATGGCAACACCCAATACATCTGTTGCATTATTGTCAATGCAATAATTATATCTCTTTATAAACAATGGCATATTTATCCATTGAACTTTTACTACACAACAATTGAATGAATTTTATATTTTTATCTGGTCGTAACTATTCTTTGTCCATGATAATTTGTCAATATTAACCATATGGTAAAAATGATAGTATTGAAATTGTGTCAATACTTGCTTGTTCATTTATCTATTTTGTTTGTGTCGTGTTTATGTCAACAAAAGGTCGTTGTGATATTATTAAAGCCACCCTTTTTGCGACCAGCATTAAATGATGCCATCTGCATCTGTAATCAATTACACTTTGTGGATATTGTTTGTTGTTTTACACCTTGTTAACTTTAATAGTACTTTTTAGGTGTACATAAACTTGACGTTGATGATGTAATTACAACCAGTCTAAAGAGACTCAATGAAAAATATGGTGACATCTACAACTTTGGTCGTCTTGTGAATGGATACAGAAGATTTGATCCAACCAGAGGTATGGAGTACACCCTCGATCTTACCGTTAAAGAAAAGTTTGGCAAATCCACTGAGATTCATAAACGAGTCCACTTGGTGCGTCCTCTCAGTCAAGTGGAAATAGTCCCAATGCCTTATGTCACTGAGAACACCCGCGTGAACCTTATCCTCCCTGTGTCTGCAGAGGATCGTGATGGCGTCGTCAGTTTTTTGGATTCATATGCGCATACTTGTCTGGATTCGGGTGATAACACCAATCTGTTTATTGTTTTCATATACAATCCACAGGACCCTATAGATAAGGATGATATATTTGCGGTGTTAAAAAGTATGATTACATATTACGAGAACAAATACCAAAATGGTGCTAGGATTGCATGGACAAGCATCCACAGCAGCAGTCCTAATCCAGAATTTATCGTCATGGATGCAGTCTCGAAAAAATTCCCTCCACAATCTTTGTTTTTGATCTGTAGTGTCGGGATGGAGCTTGCGATTGAATTTTTAAACAGAGTACGCATGAATACAATTTCTGGCTGGCAAGCTTTCTTCCCCATTGGATTCTACCAGTATAAGCCCAATCTGATCTATGATGAGACCCCATACCCAACAACCATTGAAATAAATAAAAATGTTGGCCATTTTGATAACAATCTATATGAACAAGCTAGCTTCTATAACTCTGATTACCAATATGCTCGCAAAACAATCTCAGATTCAGTGATATCCAAAATTGAAATGTATGACATGTTTATCAAGTATCATCACCTCCATGTTTTCCGGGCAATTGAACCAGCTCTGAAGCATCGATTTAGGGAACGTCATTGTAAGCCTACACTTACAGAAACAGCTTATAAACGATGCCTGAAGAGTATTGCCACAGGTCTGGCCAGTCGATCACAGCTAGCTTTGTTGATATTTGAGGAGCAGCGAAAAGTCGACAAGCTGCAAATAGATATAAAACACAGACAACATGATCCTAATGTTGAACTTATGAAACCTGATATGTTAAAATGAGAATTAGCGAGTAAATCCAATCAGGGGCCTGTTTTTTAAAAAGTATTGTCAATCATGATTCTCAAATTTCAGTTGCCTTTTAATTTCATGAAAAAGGTTTGACATAATTGCTGTCCCATGGAGCAGATCCTTTTGATCTGGGCCAGCTTATTTTTTAGCGCATGTGTGAATATAGAGTAACAACGGGTTTGTAAGTTTTGACCTGTACATGCACAATCCTAATGACAGTCTGTAACATATATTACACAGGGGGAGACCATTTAGTGTCCAAGCAATTTGCAAATCATGGAGATACAAAAATCATTTTGATTTCTTTGTGATGGCCGTGTCTCCTAAAGCCAACTCAACTGATAGAAAACCATTTACTTATATTCTAATTTACTAGATATGTTTTATAATATCAAAAAGTACAGTGATATTTAAGTTAGGCATTATGTGCCATGTAGTGGTGTCAATTAACCGCTTGAGCATTAACCGGTTAACCGGGGGTTTTTACCGGTTAAAGTCGGTTAACCGGCGGGAAATTTGAACTGATAATTTCAAATGAAATCTTCATCTTCGATCTTGAAAGTTGAAACAAATTGGAAAAATGATATATCGGCGTTTATTTTTTACGTTCGTCAAGCTTTACTCTATTCTATGTAAGTAAGCGCGGGAAAGCAATGTGGCAGGGATTAAAGTTGCTGATTGGATGTTTGTAAGGAATTATCGGACCTATCACATGTATGAGTAGCTCACATGAAACTGACGCTTGAAAAACAAACAGATTAAAATGCAAAGTAAGCTCGGGAAAGCAATATGGCAGGGATTAAAGTTGCTGATTGGATGTTTGTAAGGAGTTATAGGACTTATGACATGTATGAGTAGCTTACGTGAAACTGACACCATAAAACCAAACGGATTAGCATGCAAAATAAGCGCGGGAAATCACAGAATTATACACGGTCAACTAACCACCCATAAAAACACAGACCGGTTAAGGCATTATCGGCGGTTAACCGGTTAACCGGTTAATACTTGACACCTCTAGTGCCATGACTTTCCTGCCTACATGGAGAACTTAATGAATTAGCCAGAATTCTCACTATTCTTGGCCTACCTTAATTGCAGACTTGCATCTATGCATCAAGCCCTTGTTTAATCCCTCATAAGGTTCTACACATGCTATTACAAATACCTAGGTGGCAGAGACTTTTTGCATATGCAAGAGACTCCCTATTAGTAACAAAATTTAGCATCAGAGGCTTTCATATTATCCATTGTGAAACCTTAGTATATACATGTAGTAATACTCCAAAAACAGCAAAATGAACAATTGTATATATAGATTTTATTTACTGGGAGGGATTGAATATGGAATTTATATAGAGGGCCTATATGATATTTCCAGAGGGACCACGGCAAAATGAACAATTGTATATTCTGTTACATTTTAGGTGTGAATTTGAACAAGCAACACTTCAAAATATATGGCTTTAGCTCTATCTAGTGTACTATCTAGTCTTTTTGTGCAACTTCACAACTTGGTATTTTGTCAACAGTGACATCTTTACATGCTTTGTGTTTTTTGTGAGTGCTGCATGCATGCAGTGTATTATTCTATGGTATATACCCTTTAACTAATATTTACCCATTTACCAGAAAATGTGACCTATTTTAAGTGAAAAATGTTCTTTTCAATGAAGATACAATGTATTATCATATGATCTGTAAAATGAAGCCTCCTGATAGGTCAGTTCTTGTGCTGTACCAATCTGTATTGCTACCGAGATTGTCTCCATTGATCATCTCGATATTCTGTATTGGCACTCGACTTCGTCTATCCAATACGGAATTTCTCGAGCAGAATATATCCTGTATTGCACTTCAAATCATTAAATAACTTATACCTTTGTTTATAGAAAATTTTATCCAAATAAAACAGACTTCAATTTCTCGGACAGTAAAACTGGACGACAATCATTGTAGGCCTTATCCGATCGTATTGTATAATAATCATGTAATGTTTAATATATGTAATATGTTTGCGTAATATGTGTAAATGAAATAAACAATGTATTAGACACCAGTGCAATGAATTGTTTGATGCTTTTATTATGTCCCCACCACATAGTGTGGGGCCATATTGTCTGCCTAGGCACGTCCGTCTGTACGTCCAGCAGTTTTCTCCAAAACCGCTACAGATATCACCTTCAAATTTTCAGGAATAACTTATGAGTGCATACAGATGTGGATGAAATTTTTTTAAACTCGATACGTACTTCCTGTCGGCCATTTTGAAGTCACATGCTAAAATACTCGTCTGCAAACTTTAAGAACAACCTCACAGTTGCTTGAACATTTTGTTCAGCTCACTTCATTCTAGATCTGATTAGGTTTTGGACCTGTTAGCTCAGTCATGGCAGCCATTTTGAATGTCTTGAGAAAAGTTAGCACGCGATGATACTTTGTATCATATTAAATGGTGTTTTTGAGTTTTCATACTTTAACTATTTAGTAGCTTCATAAATAATTTCAGGTGTGCTTTATTGTAAAAGCCTATGTTATTGTTAACAGTAGTTATATGTGATAATTTTGTAAAAAGAAATCAGCAAAAACTCATAATCACATTTTAATTGTCGGCCATTTTGGATTTTCCGTCCTAAAATCTTGTCTGTGAAGTCTTGTCTACGCGTTTTCAGGTGAACCATTTTGTAGATCAATTTCATTTCAAAAATTTGCAGTATATAGGATCACCCATTGGTGGGGACATGTTGTACACATTTGTGTTCTTGTTTTGTAAAGTGAATCTTAGGATATAAATCTTCAGATTTATTACAATTAGCAAGATGTCATGGTTGCTCCTCATAAGAATATCCACTGCATGATTTTGTTATGGAATTCCCTTGACATTTTCCAGCATTACTTTTATGTTGTTATAGTCTCAAACCTTTTTGTGAAGGTGTTTGGCAGTTGGTATCTGTAACAAATGGCAGGTGGTGACATTTTGCATGTTAATGCCTTATTTGAATTTGCAATTAAATGTACTTCATTGATTATCATTACTTGAAACCACTATAAGGCACACTAGTTTTTAACTTGGGAGGAGGTTGATTCTCTAAAGTTAGGGAAAATTCACAATATTCGTTTTAAATTTGTTGCATCCCTTTTGCAATATCTTTATGAAATCAAGTGCACTGTCAGATCGTCAAAAGGATTATTCAGAACTTTTTGCCAATACACAATTGAAATGTTCAACCAACTGGGAAATCAATAAACTGAAATCTAACATCAAGTAATATTTTTACAATTTATTCTTCTTCAATGAATATAGCATATAACATATATAGACATGATTGAAACCAGTAGTCTGGCTGTATTCACTATTCACCTATTTGAAGATTTGCCACCTGAATGAAGTAACATTCTTAAATACTCCATCTATTGATTATAAGACTGTTGTATCACCTCTTACTGTGGTATATACAATATATACACACACAAAAAATTACTGTGGTATATACAATACATACGCACCAACAATTACTGTGGTATATACAATATATACACACAAACAATTACTGTAAATCGAACAAACATGAATTCTCAATTTTATAAGAATAATTACTTGTATTACATGAAATCAAATACTATTACTAGGTGTTATATACCTTCTTATCAAACTGAAACGTCTATGATGCAACATTACCAAAACTCAGACTATCCTCAAGCCACTGTGACTTCCTCACACACATGTCACCGCAACAAGCTTGAGAATAAAATGGGAGAAGGAAGGTCAAAATGCTTGATACAAGACTAAAACTTAACGTTTTTACTCATTGTAGATTGTACACAATTATTGTGCCATGTGACAAACTGATTATGTGAGTGACACTCATATTCTGTGTCACATTAGTATTGGTGAAGTACAGGCAATGTGGTACACAAATCAACTGTTTTGAACATGAAATGTTATTTATTAACACAGAAACAATAATAATTTAATTATATATATCATATAAATAAAACACAGATTGTAAGATGGATTCCAAGAACACCTAATTAGAGTGAGAGACATTCATACAAAAAATAATAAAATATTTGCTCAAAGATTGTGCACATTGAGTACCATTATTCTACAGCTTTATTCGAATGTGCATCTGCAAGAACATTATTGTTTCCCCGATAATATTTGAACTTTTTGAAAATGTGTGAACTCAGAAATCATACAACAGTACCATCCATAACATTATAATGGTACTTAATGTAACCAGGGTAACATTGCAATGGTACCATTTGAACATATTGACACTTTATTCACAGCATATGTTTACATTATAGCGTTACTATGGTTACAGATCCAAGATCCTACCATTTGCAACCATGGTAACATAAAAATAATCAACACCTAGGCAGGCAAAGTCCACGTTTATGTACAAGAGGCATTTCAGGCCTCGCCTAGTGAGTTACATAAATACTAGTTAGTGTCTATGTACAGACTCGACCACAGCATTCTCCAGGCTGCAACATGTATGTGCTAACACTGAATACTACTGTTCACTGTACATCAGCATTTGAAGCATACTTTTGCACATCAATATAGGCTCCAAGTAGCATGGCAACCTATGATGCATTCATAAAACTACTGTATTGAGTAACATTAGCACCAATTCTCAAGCCTGTGTTTTAGTTTCTATGCATACTTGTACTGTTTTCATTTTCTTGTGTGTTAAAATTCAAATTTGTTCTGAACATCTTTAGAGTGGATAGGGTAAGTAAATTCTATGTTTAACATTATTTTGTGGAATCATAATTTGTGTTTAATTATGTAGTTGTAAATACATACCTTATTGAAATAGATAAATAAAATATGATATAGTCAGTGGATTATTTTCGAAAATACCACATAGACCAAATTAAAGATGATGTAGTTCTAATAAAAATAAAGAGATGTCAGGGGGAACACTTAAAAATTTATTTGATCTAGGAATTCCTTAGTTATCAAAGGGATCATGTCGATTCCACCAAAAAATTCATAAGTAGATTGAAATACCAAAAACCATGGATATATGGTTATGTACACAAGCAATGAAAGAACTGACATGGTATGAATGTGTCTTGCAACTGACAGACAGTGCGTAAACATGATAATGCAAAGTTGAACCATAGATAAAACAAATAAATAATCAATTACAAAACCAGGACTGGTGACATTTCTAATCACATCTTAAAAAAATAAAATCATTTTTAATACAAACAGATTTTTGTATGCATAAATCATTTTGGAACATATTTCACTAGGCTGTTAATTTACAAAGTATTGTGATTTATAAAATTAAGTATACCTTGTACGTACATCATGCAAGTCATTGTAAGATCAGAACATTATCATTATGTCACAATGCTATATGTTATCATGTAATATTTCACTTATTTTCCATGTTTTGTTCTAGCTCTATCCAAACCCTACATAGTGGTGATGTCAACATAAATCTTCACCACAATCTGACAAAACTAGCTACCCTAACCTGGCCTTATTCATTACTCAGCAAATGTACATTTTATACAATAATATATTACAATTCTAAAATAAAACTAGATTACACAAGGATGGTGTCTCTTAAAATTAAATGAGCAAAATGAATTGAAGAAATACGACTTATAATTTAAGACTAATTAGCATTGAAAATTATCCTGGTGTCCCTTTCTCAAAAATACGAATTAGGATTCGTGAAATGAATTTGTACAAGACAATTGAATTTCACAGATCAGAGCACACAATATTTTGAAATAGCTATGTAAAATGAATGAATTAATGATTATGAAAAGTGATACGTTAGGAAAACATAGTTGTAGAAGCCACACAAATGACAATGATTTAAGAAAACACCATCCTTTGTTAAGACTGCATTTAAACTCTAGATTTTGCCGAGTGGCTCTGGAGGTGCTATTTGGGCGGTGTCTCCGTGGCAACGGGGCGTGATGGCATATACGTTGTTTGGTTCTTTAAGCTCTCCAGATCTTTAATTTGCTGTCGTAAAAATAATATTCTGAAAGAAAAACACAAATCAATCGTTACATGTCTGGAAGTTCTTAAACCAAAGACATCCTTCTTAAGTATTCATTATTTTCTTAATTTCCTGATATCCATAGAATAAAACATACTCATTTACGAATATAGATAAGATAGTACGAATAGGAATTCTTCAATGCTTACCTTTGTTCTTGTAAGGTGGCCTGTATTTCCGCTACCCTGACTAAAGATCGTGCTTTCTTCAAATCAGCAGAGACCTTGGTGCAGTGAAGATTGCCGATTGTGTGAGCCTCGTCCGCATAGCGACATGCCTGAAAATTTGATAATTTTACATGCCAGGAATTTCTTGTTCCATATTTACAGTACGCGGAAAATCTGTTAACCTGAAGTTTTCTTTTTGAAATTTTCATTGAAAAATTCATTTTTATTGGATTCTATTCTAAAATTTATGAGTATGCCATGGCTGTGCATGCAGTGATTACAATGAACTGGGACACACTCACATGAACAGAGTGTCTTAAATCACAGATATATAAACATAGCATCGCAAAATCTCTTAAGGCAACAGTGTCGTGAAACGACGACCACCAAACCACTACAATATTTCTCAGTAAATTAAATTTTAGAGTTTATATGAGTATGTTATCAATCTCTACCTGTCTGTCAAAATGGTCCCCTGGCCAGCCCCTGACATGACCCAGTAGGCTGTCTTTGTAGTAGTTACTGAGGGAGGGGGTAAGGTGAACACTGGGCTGTTGTACAGGTGGAGCACTGATGTTGCTGCTATTTGCTGGCAAGTCTTGGGAACTACCGTCACTGGGAGCAGGACTCACTGCCCTGCAATGTAAAAATATTGAATATGAAATGCTTGTGAAACAAATTTTTTTTTTAGATTTAGAAAATTATAATTTTGACATTACACATTGATATGAATAAATAATAATCATTTCTTTTGAGCCACATGGTCACAAAAACAGTCTCAATAACACAAGTGTTAATTTCGAAAGATCCAAATGGAGTCCTACCTTGGAGATCTGTGGCTGTTTGGGGAACAGGGTGGGCTCTGGTGCCCTAGGGGATGGTGCTCCTGGTGGTGTCTCTCAGACTCCAAGTTGGGGGTGTGGTTCATCTGCTCCATGTGAGGGGACACCTGCACTTGTGGAGATTGATCTATAGTTGACCGAGGAGAGTGCCCTGTATCTGAATATACAAAATTGGTTTCAACTCAAGATGTTCTGTTCCTTTTTAGGTTGCTCTCTAAATCCCTCAACATTCACCATGATATAATTCCCGTTTCCTTATATCTTAGATTTTAAATATAAATTCTTGATTTAAGACAAAAATCTATGTGCATTTAAAATATTTTATCTAAATGCTACTATCGAAATAATTATCCTTAACATTTTACACGAAGGATTATTATAATGACAGCCTACAACACCAGGCCATTGTTTTGACAGGTTAACCAATATAAATTGTTTTTTCATTAAAATGTTAATACTGACAACATATTCCATGTTAATATGTACTTACTGTGTTGATGCTTGCTAACTCTTGTACTAAGAGCCTTGTGCAACTTCTGAAGAGTTTGTAAAGCTGAAGTAAACAAAACAAAGATGTTAGTTCACTATAAATCAGCAATTTAATAACTGGATTTTAATTTCAAACAATGTATAACATCATTTCTTAACTACATGTACATATATGGTCACTATAACAAACAATACAAAAACATGCAAAATGTAACCATCTGCCATTTGTTACGGACGCCAAACTCCATATGCCGAACTCTGAATGCCTTGTAGCCAAAAACTGTCCCCTGACATGTATTTTACGAGGGTAAGTCGAAGCCATAAGCTCAAAGTCCCATTTTTCTTACCTTGCTGAGTGAGCTGTTGGTTGTCTACTTTCTGTAGAGTCTTCTCACCCAGATGTGTTATTAACTGTGGTATTGCCATAGATGTGGGGGTGCTCACTGTGGGATAGCTGTGATTATATGAAGGCGTAGATGTGGGTGGGGTTCCATGGATTATCCCAGGGGTGCTATTAGGGGGGTAGTGTGGGGTACTACTAGGGTGAGACTGCCGAGATGGAGGACGTGAATTAGTTGGGGTTGACCCAGGTGAGATGTCCATATCTTCTTCATGTTGGTTGTCTGAAAATACACAATACGCACATAAATTACACATTACACACATGCAGTGAAAATTATAGGAACATAACACACATGTTTAACAACACAGTATGCTCACGGCAAATGGTCTCCCCAGCATTCAAAGCAACAACGTGTTGCTCCAAGTGAACAATACTGCGATATTTGGTAACACATAAATTCTAGGACAATGATGAAGCAATTGTAAATTTTCACAGAGTCAATTTGCCTTCACCAATGGTGAATATGAGGTTTGAATTTGCTTCATCATCCATTTGAGTTCTTCTGATATCAGAAATGTTTGAGATTTTTTGGGAGTTTAAAACAATCAAAACTTTATTTGATTGCATAACGAAGAATTTGGAATTCAGATTTTGCCTTGTTTAGCTGAAATAAAAGGAGTATCAATATTGAATTTCTTTGGTCCCAGTTAGCTTCATCTTGATGCAGAACAGAGATTCTCATAAGGAACCGGCCTCTAAACTTTGAATCAAATTCGACAAGTGGTATTTGAGTTATCAATGCTTTAAAAACATTTACAAATATTCACCCCACAACTTTGAAGTATTTTAATGGTGGCAATTCTAATTAGTACTTAATTCTGAAGTCAAACAATTGAAGATGCAGTCTTCAAACACAAGGAATAAATGACAAAAAATCACATAGCTTGATAAGCAAAAGGATGAAGACAAAAAACTTTATCATTTCAATAATTATGTCAAAGGAGCACAAATTCTGGTTATTTGGGTTTAAATTGAATTGATCTTAACCCTTAGAGTGCTGATTTGTTTTGGACGTGCATTCCATGGAGACTGACTTGTTTGGGGATTGATTCCCCATTTCAGACATGCATTTAGAACCTGATCATACTAGAAGTATGATGCATGCATGTATCATATGGATGCAATATAATAGCTAAGTCACTTAAAATGCCATGAAAAAGCATTTAAGAGTTACGAAGGAGTCATCTAATCCTATAAATTGACTAGAAGACAAAGTTAACGACAGAGATTTGTCTGAAAATTTTCAAAATATTCTAATCACCATTTACCCACATATCAATGATATTTCCTTCATTTTCACAAGTTAAAATGATAGATTTACCTCTATCATCACCTGGTCATATATTGTGATTGATTTCCTCATATTTGATGAGTATTCTTCAATTTAATCCAAAAAATAAAAAATTGTTCACTTCCGGTTTCGAACTTCCGGTCAATATTTTCGAAATAAAAAGTTTAGAAATACATGTATTTCTGTTTCATTAATTATTGTGGCTATTCAACTTATTTTGTAATAAGGCACAGACGTGAACAATATCGTACCTAAAACACAGCATTGTGGTCTTGTTGACCAAGAAAGCAAGATGGCCACAGAAAAGTTAATCTGACCTCTAGAACTTATCACTGTGTAACTTATGTAAAAATTTGAATGGTTTGGCTGGAAACCTGTAGACAAGTCTTGAAAGTGAAGATTTTAGGACGGACAATCCAAAATGGCCACCTTAAAATTTACCCAGAATGCCGAAAAACCAATCAGTTCTTGACGTTGATATGTAGAAACATCCCTGAAAATTTCAGATGAATCCCTCAAATGGTTTGGCTGGAAACCTGTAGACAAGTCTTGAAAGAAGATTTTAGGACGGAAAATCCAAAATGGCCACCTTAAGATTTACCCAGAATGCCCAAAAACTAATCAGTTCTTGACGTTGATATGTAGAAACATCCCTGAAAATTTATAGATGAATCCCTCAAATGGTTTGGCTGGAAACCTGTAGACAAGTCTTGAAAGTGAAGATTTTAGGACGGAAAATCCAAAATGGCCACCTTAAGATTTACCCAGAATGCCCAAAAACTAATCAGTTCTTGACGTTGATATGTAGAAACATCCCTGAAAATTTCAGATGAATCCCTCAAATGGTTTGGCTGGAAACCTGTAGACAAGCTGAAAAGTGAGACGCCGCCCGCCCGCCCGCCAAGCTGACTACAATATCGTACCTTTTGTTAGGTACGATAAAAATATGTTGTATGAATGTTAACAACACCATCAACTATCAAAACCATCACATTTGGAGAAGAATAGCGGCAAATTATGTAAGGTAAAGACTTCTGACTTTTTGCAAACACTTTCATCATTATCAAGCGATTAAACTTGCTGATTGTCTACATGGAATGTTACATCAAAGCGAGGGTCTCAATCTAACCAAACAAGTGACCAAGCTGATGAAATATGAAGTTAATTTTGGATAAACAGAATTTCATTTGAATTTTGTGATTATTGAAACATCATTGATCAAAGAGCCAAGAAGTCTGCCAAGTCCCAAAACAATGCTTTTAGGAATTTCTTAAAGATGCAATATACCATACATTTCTCTCCCAGACAATCAATTAGTGTCCCATTATTTTTGCTTATACAGGGTGTCAAATAAGTCCCGTCCCCCCCCCTACAGCCAAAACAGGAAAAGATGGTACATAGTGTGATATACCATTGGAAAGATCGTCCAAAGTTAAGTTGATTGGCATATATCTGACACTTGTCAATCAATGTCACAAATTGCTACATTGTTGCAATTAAGGTGCCCGTATATATAAAAAGGCGGCAATTCAGCAGATTTTTGAAAACCAGGCATCAGTAATGCCATTCAAGAAAAGTCTGTCAAGATGGCAACATATGTATCTGATAGTGAGATACAACAATTTGTAGATAGAGTAAGATGTGTTGCATACAGAGAGGCAATGGACAGTGGTGCAGACTTTATTTGTAAGAAATGGATAGCGAAGAAGATTAAAAGATCTGACAAGTTTGTTCAAAGATGCTGGAAAAAGCCGTATGATGAACTTGTTACACAATCAAGATGTGGTGCTCCTGAAGTCCTTTCTCCTGCATCAAAGGAAGTTATATGGGATGGATCAGCTAAAAAGAGAAAGAGTTGTACTGAAGTGGCCAGAGATATCAAGATGAAGCGTGGCAAGGTGGTGTCAAGACAATTGGTGCACAATTATCGTGTTCGCGAAGGCCTTAAGGCATGGCACATTATTCCTAGACCATTGAAGAATGAATCCCAAAAAGCAGATCGCCTTTGGTTTATTAACTTTTTGAGAGATTGGGATGAGGATGACTTCCTCCATTTGGCTCCTTCTGATGAGTTTTTTGTGTATACAATAAGAAAGCCAAACCATCAGAATGACCGTGTATGGGCTAAACGGCGTGATGATTGTAGTGATTTGCTAGTGCGAGAACAGTTGGCATGGCCCCAATGCATAGGGATTTTCCTCTTATTTACGGCAAAGAAGATGATGTGGATTATTAAAGAGGATGGTCAGAAATGGACCGGGGATTACTTCCGTGATACAGTTTTAAGGGGGAGGGTAATACCCTTTCTAAGAAATCCTCAGAATGTGATTGAGCCATCCCAAGTGACTTTGTTACATGATAAGGCCCCTTGTATGAAGGCATTGGCTACACAAGATCTCCTCAAGCAGTCAAAAATTGACTTTTTTGGGAATGATGACTATCCTAGTAATAGTCCGGACTGTAATGCGTGCGAACATATGGGATCCATAGTTAAGGATAGAACAGAGGCACTTATGGATGAGGAACCCATAGAGAACAGAAATTCAAAGGATGCTTTATTAAAAAACTTGAAGAAAGTACTAAAAAGTCTTGAAAATGCACATGAACTTTTTGACGTTTTGCTTAAGTCATATCCGTCTCGTTTTGACGCCATAAAAGCTGCTGGAGGGGGACATACCAACTATTAAAGAAATCATCAGAATAAAGGTAAATGTCATCTAAACTACTTGAGAGTTGGTGAGTTAATGTAACTTTGGATGATCTTTCCAATGGTATATCACACTATGTACCATCTTTTCCTGTTTTGGCTGTAGGGGGGGGGACGGGACTTATTTGACACCCTGTATAATATCTTAGATAGCTTAGATCTATGTTAAGATATATATTATTGCAGATTATTGAAATGATAAAATGAACAACCAACAGTCAGAATTGAACAGAACTGATTCTGTGGCCATCGAGGGGAATCCCCATCAGCCTACACGCTTCTTGAACAAGACAGCTTTTCATTGTTTATGATAAACAAATTTAACAACCAATAAGATGACAGAAAGATTTCCCGGTATATTCAAACTTAAAATTCAATTTATTTTGTTAAAGGTGCAGTGTCTGATAAAAGCACAATCAGAGTAACCCCCTGCTGTTTTGGCTCTGATGTATAAGAAGTTGGTCTATAAACTGACCAACTTTGAGACTTCACCTAATTTCGTTACCTTATCAGTTTGATGACTGTTCACAGATATTACTTTCTACTGGCTAGTAATAAAGTCGAAATGCATTTTTTCATTTTTGAACCATAACACGGTTGTCCTGTCCATTTTTTCAATGTATCGGCGATACTGTGCCCTCAATTTGTTCTTAAGATATATCTTAGGTATGTTAGTTAAAAACAATTATAATAGAACATCACTGATTGTCTGGGGGAGAAAGCTCAGCAACATTCCCCCTTTAAAGTAATTTGATCAGTCAGTACAATCGCAAAATTAGCACTGAAACGGGCGATTTGGGAATTCTCCATTTGTAAGTAGATAGGTGAATATATGCAAAAAATCCAGGTTAAAGATTTTTCAACAACCAGCCGTTTTTCAACAGACTGACTCAGAGAAAAAAACAAGACTAACACTAAGGATGGAACACAACTGCCTGTCTTGACTTCAAAATAGATACTTTCCATTCCAATTTTTTTTGCTTTGTCCCATTCCTACAGAACACCGATCTCCCCTGTCATATGTACATCACAGATCAATCGTAAATAGCCTACCTTCATTTTCATGCAGCCTACTTTCTTGTGAATTCTGTGAGTTAAATAATGCCTGGTGAGGGGGGTCTGAAGTATGACGGTCATACCGCTCATTGTTGCTAGTATAACCATTACTATTTCCACTAGAGTGTTTATGTTGTGTTTTAGTGTCTACTTTAGAGTAATCATACTGGTGTGGCGTGTGGTGCTGCCTAGAATGCCCACTACTGCCACCAATCCGATGCTGTACATGATCATTAGAGTTAGTCCGGCCCACATCTCCAGGCCTATCTTTATGGTAGTGCTTAGTCCTATCTCCGGAACTACTTTGATGTGATGTATCATTCCGCTCGCTTGCTTGGCTACTGGAATGTGGTTTTCTTTTATCTGCTGAAAATAGTTAATTCTACATATCATCTAGAGCTTGAATACAGATAAATAACTAGATCAACTAGATAACTAAGATCAAATTTTACAATTTTGAACTGAAAAATTCATGTCTAATGCTAAATATTCAATCTAAATATATAATTCAATACTTATCTTAAAAATGTACAATTTTGAACAATAAAATCCATGTCTATATGCATATATATATAAGCAAACTGAACTACAAACTATCATAATGACAGTAAGAAAATAAAACCAAGACAACAAATGAACAATTTTTTGTTACTCACATTTTTCGTTATAGGCTTGTCTTTGTTTATCTTGCTGCTGTCGTTCTTTTTCTTTAACACAAGCAGGCTTTGTGACAAGGCTGGAAAAAGAAATATCATTGGTGCACTGAATAAAGGGTTATGCAGAGATATAGATACCTGATGTTTACTTATTAGTGTTAAATTTTATCTTGACATAAAACAAGCTTTAGCCGTTAGGACCCTCTACTATCTATTCCCTTCATCCCTCTTATTGTTCAACAGTTTGGACATTTAGTTGTCATTCGTATAACATTATCGCCATTTACCTAAGGCAATTTTCAATGTTCAGATCTCTTAAAGTTTTTTAAGGATGACATTAGATTTTTCCAATGCCTTATTCATGTTGCTTGTGATTGAAGTGAAATACAAATTCCAGTTTTTCTCGTAGCAAGGTCCTCTACTCTTAAATGCAAGTAAGGCCTAATCTTGTTCTCCATAAGGCCCACAGTAGTTGTTTTAATGTAACCCAAATGGGTTATGATGTATTTGGATGTAAGTTATTATTTGCTGTCCTTATGATGGTTTGGATGGTAGAGTCATCGAACTCACTTGCTGACCTATAAAATATCTTGATTTCCTTGAATAGAGATGTCATTTTGAAACTTATTTAAATAAATGTAATTTGGACAATGTTACAAAGGGCTCTACTATGAGAAAAAACAATATGAGCAAAATGCAGAGATAAAAACTTATTCTGCAACTTACGCCTCATTCCATTCCTTAGGTTTTTCCCATTGGGATACTTCAGATTTGACATTGTAGTAGTATTTCTTCCCAGAGGAGCTAATGTGCTCTGACCAATCACCACACAGTCGTTGAGCAGACTTCTGAACCTGTAATACAAAAATAAGATGTAACTAAATGGTATGAGCAATATACCTTTTGGTCTCCAAACTTGTCTCAATCCAACTCAAGTGTAAAATCATTAACTCTAACAATTGATTGACCATTCTACTGTTCCAGTTTTAATTTGGTGCTTTTTAATTTTGGGAGTTATTTTTGTCATCATTTGCAAAAACAAACAATTTTTTCAATAAACACCTCTAACAGAAAAATTTAACTTCATATTTTTCATGCAATCTCTATGTATATCAGTAGGGGTGAGACGACAACCCGATGAGTCGAGGACTCGCGGGTTTGGGGCTTCGAGTCGAGTCGAAGTTGATGAATCGAATCATTTTCGAGTTGAGAAAAAAATTCGAAAAAATAAAAAAATTCAGAAAAATACTGTCAATATGCATGTTTTTACTCGATATTGCATTGAATATATAAGTTTCAATGACTTGGATATGCTTGTATTAAATTATTATATTGTATGTACACATAAATGAAAGAATATATGTAATAAAATCAGAATAAACTTACGACGAATTGTGTTTGTTTATATTTCCGGCTTTCCACCATTGACACATTGAAAATACGAAAAAGCGATGTTGTTCGCACTTGCGCGACTCGAAACGGATTCGAAACTCAAATCATCATTTTCTGACTCGAATCGGATTCGACTCGAATCGGATTTTTTCGACTCGTCTCACTCCTATATATCAGTGATTCTATTCTATATTTATTAGATTTCGCAAATTCAAAATAAAAAGTTAAGAATACTTACATCAACTTTGTGTTCTCGCTGTGTACCATCTTTGCTGGCAGTGCTATCTTGTCGCTCTCTATTGCTACCTCTTTCTCGTGCAGTCTCTCGCATTTCCCGTACACTTTCTCGTGTACTTTCTCGCACACTTTCTCGTCCATCTCTGCTTTCTTGAATTTCTCTACTATCTCCAAATGCTCGACTTTCCCTAGATTCTCTGATCTGATTCCGTCCTTCTCTGATATCCCTTGTGTCTCTCTCGCGCATGTCCCGAGAATCTCTGTCCCTGTCTCGTACATCCCTGCCACTGTCGCGAGACTCTCTAGTGTTCGTAAAAGCTCTATCGTGGTTGTAACTGCGGTTGAAATCGCTGTCATTGTGATAGGAGTGATTTGATTTCCTGTCGGAGGGCGACACGGGGCTTGAATGGTTTGAACCTAGAAATTACAATAAAATATGACTTATATTATTATACTTAAATGGCAAAACAGACTATAAATTCCAGAATTTAATTTTTTGCCTCATAGCAGAAGAATTCCTTCCAGTTTCCAAAAATCTACAAAATTAGCCATATTCTATGAGAAATCTGCAATTTTTGTCAAATTTCAAAACATCCCTGAGGAGTCTCGTAAAAATCTGCATACCATTTTAGCTAGCAATCAATATAATATGGTATTTTCAAAACTTTTCTCAAACACCAGGATTGACCAACCAGATCATGCCAATGTCTCACAGCTATAAATTTGCAGAACAATACTTTTTAGCAGAGGAGTGTGGATTTAATTTAGCAGAACTAGCATTTGAATCAACCATAAAAATGAAATAAGAGAGCCATCTGCTTATTATCTCAATTGTTACCTCTGACATCACATCAATTATTTAACTGTGAATGTACAACAAATGATTGCATCTTTTGTATCTTTTTTGATTTAGTGGGTCTCACAGTCTCAAGACAGGTGTATAAAATAGGTAATTTTATTCAATTATGGCTTCCAGGCTTCATCACAATGTAGAACACAAAGGGTGCAAATGCAAGTCATAAGCTCTCACTTATCACTTTTGAAATTCATTGAATGAAATTCCATTCACTATTATCCACTGCAATCAACTAACAAAAATAGTCCTAATTTAATGATGGCACTTGGATAAATCTGATTTTTTTATCCTAAAATGACCAAAAAGTTAACAAAGAGAAAAGTAAACATGTTTATACCTCTGTCATAGCGATCCCTGTTTCTATCAAGGTAAGAAGATTTGTTGTGGTAGCGAGGGCTTGGGCGACTAGATGGGCTGTCAGATCGGTCTCTCCGTCTACTGTATGGGGATCCCCTGTCATGGTCTTTGTAGCGGTCACGATCTCTCTCCGGCCAATAGTTTTTCGGTGGGTATTTGTCAGGGCCCGAGTATGAGTGGGAGTCATTTCGGTCATAATACCTGAAAAGATAAAATATGCAATATATATTTATTTGTAATACTTAAAGAACTTAGTTTTCTTAGAAATAAATGACCTATTTTCATGAAAGTGAAATAAATAAGATATCTAAATGACACTGCACTCTCTCACATGACCATACACCGATACATAAAAAGATAACTCCAGTATATAAGAACAAAAATGAGAAGCTAGACTTTTCTCAGTTAAGGCTTAAAATACTCGTAAACAATAAAATACAAAACGCGAGATTCGCTATGCAAAACTTGAAGAAATAAGCATCCCAGATCTCGTACAATAAACCATGTTATATGAATCATATCTTCAATCCAAATATACCAATCAATCCAAATATTATTTTGAACCATCATTTACTGAGTAGATGGCAAAAACAATATGCTACTAAAGGTGCAAAGACGGTTTTTTGCACACAAATGAGCGAAAAATTGTATGCAAGTTAGCACCAGACCTGCACCTTTAGTTACTCGTCTAGTTCCCTTCATTTCAGAACCATGTTAATAGTGATTAACCAAACCATGGTTAAGAACCAGTACATGGTCATATGAGATAGATTCTGTCCAATTCTCCCTGTATTTTGATCAAAATAGGGCAGTCTGACAATAAATAAATGGCGGGTTGTCAGACAGCCCTACTTTAATACTAAAATCTGCGATATATACCCGTCGTTTAGCCTTTGATATTTCCTTGCATGCATTACCATCAATGCTAGATTATTTGGAATGGTTGCTAAACCCAATCAAGGTTCAGTAAGTGGGTTTATTTAGCTAAAAAACACTCCAAACATATTTTGACAAAATTTAGGTCGCCATTTTCTATCCGGGTACTTCAAGTGTTCGGTAATTTCCGTTAGACTTACGGGACGATTTACTCGATTTTAAGAGAGTAATTATCTTATACATTATATCATTATCACTTATGCATAGTCATTCTATTTTATCATCAACATTAGATTTAGATTTGGTACGAAATAAAAATAAATGTTCCGATGGTGACGTCATTTGAAAAATTCAGAAAAATGGCTCAGAATATTCCTCCCCATTTATATTCAAGTTTCTGGTCATAAGAAATGATTAGATAGACATTAAGGTATTGGTATATGATGCTTTATTTTTTGATTCACCAATGTATCTTTTTTGTTTGCAAATTATAACATGTAACTCAACTTGTTTATTTGAACAGTGGGTGTGGCATTTTAGGCCTTACAGATACATGTATGAATGAATATAGATCTAGCTACACTACCATGTCACTGACAGTCACATGTTTGAAGTTGATTTGATAGATCATTCAAAACTGACAGTTTTAGTATTGACATGTTTTTTGTTGTTTTCCATATAGAGAGCCTATGGGGTTTTGTCACGTAATCATGTCAGGTGGTAATACGTTTTCACGTCTCACGTTGCTCATCAGAATTACTCTCACGTTACACGTCCTTGATCATCAAAGAATTACATTCATGTTTCACGAAGATCAAATATCATTACATTTATCACTGTCATCGTCAATGAAACGTTTGGGAAGCCGGCCTGACTCTGTTGTTTTCTTTGACTAGTTTGTTTAGTTTGTATAATAATAACTAAATTAAACACAGACTCATCAAAATCACCCTTCATTTTGCTTGCAAGACTTGTTAAGTCCAGACGATGGTCACATAGTCCAGATATCTCAGTTTATCCTATACCAAGTAGAGTTTTATGGAGATAAGTTGGTAAGACATATCCCGATATGTATCATGATTTTGAGGTTTCCATATCCAGAACCTCCATATCTTCCGCTTCGGTGCATATCTTCCCGCTTCCGGTGCATATCTTCTCGCTTCCGGTAATGCAATAAAATGACTTTGCATATGAATGATTTGTTTATTTTTACACCTTGTACTATTGAAATGGCCATATGCCCCTGAAAACTCTACTTGGTATAGGATAAAGCAGTTATGTTAGGTCGGTTTGGATATTGGGTTCATCCCTCGTGAGATATGCACATCTACCTTCGGTCCCTACGGTATATGCAATATGCATATCTCCCTCTGGATAAACCCCATATCCAAAACCTCCCAGTACATAACCCTTATATATCAGGTTGATCTTTGTATTTGTCGGATGGGCTTGCTATTGGTTAAATTTCTACTAAGTCGTTATTCTCGACCAATCAAATAGAAGAAAAGAAATTAAAATATTAATTTCCCGATGGTATTACACCTCTCTTATGTTAATCTTTGTCGCGTTTTGTAACTGGTCTGATTGGCTAAAAACAGAAAAGTTTAGAAATAGGAACTTATTACATTTGAGTTTACAAAGTCGACAAATAAGATGTATTACAAAAGCGAACGTAGGATCAAATGCATTCTCGCTGAACGAAGTTTCATTTATTCTGAAAATGTAGCACGAAATAAAGAGACTGAACAGCGTCACGGAGGTCTCATAATTCAAAATACGATGCAGGAGACAATGTTTATTGACTTCACGATGCACAGGGTTAACTTCATGAAGCTGTGCATCGTTAATCCTGATGTCTGCACAGGCCTGCAGGACTTGCATTTCACGTTTCTCGTTCGATCAAAATCCACTAAAATGCTGCACGCCCGAACCCTTTCCATAGGCTCTATAGATCTATTTTATAGAGATCTAGGAATGGGAAAGCCCATGGAAAGATCCATGGAAATCCAATGTAATATGATGTTATTTCCGTAACAACGATATATTTGGAGAAACCTCCCAACATACTCGAGTCTCTAGCTTACAGCTAGATGTAACTTCATTGATTTTGTATGTAATGAAGAAAAAGTGTCGAACGTACCTAGAACTCCTTTTTAATATTTCTTAAATATTTATAAGAACATTAATTATATTTAAGTTGAAGCGTTGCTTGTCTGGATTAAGATATTTCAAAATTTCAAAACATGGCACACATGAGCATGTAAGATTGTAAGTTTGAATTAATAAGATTATTTGATATTTCGTGAATGTGAATTATTCACCGATGAGCACTTGACATAAAAATTGAAGCACAATTAACGGAGAATGCCCCTACTTCAGTTATCAAAATGTGAACTCAAATTCATAAAGAAAAGTATCATGCATACTTTGGTATGTAGCTGCATTCAAAGTGATACAGGTGAATATATTTTACGCTAGATCTTTCAAGAGATAATGAAATTTCAATTCACTGATGTCAAGTCCTGAGTCATGACAAAAAGTTAACTACTCTAACTTTTTTTATTTTAAATTATATTGAAGTGATAAAAAACAAACCCTGAAATAGATGATAGCTCAAGGTATGAGGCATGTGCAAAAGAATATTCATGGGCATTTAAGAGAAAGAAAGCAAACCTATGGAATATTTAAAGAGGCTTTTTTGACATAGTCCAAGTACTAATTGTCTTAGGTTATGCAAAACAAAATTATTTTAAATGAAAACTAGACCCTGATGTTGGCCAGTATCAAGGACCTGAAGAAATGGATAGGAGACTTCCATTGAACCATTGGTCTTGGCCGATATTTTCCATGAGAGGCACTGTAGTTTTCATGCTGTAGTTTTCACGCATTTACATTTTCTGACTTATGACCTGCTAAATGACTTATGACCTGCTAATAAATTCAAACCCACTTGCTTCTTTAATAAGAAAATTGGAACAAATTTTGTTTTTGAAATCATCATCATCACAAGTTCGATAGTCAACAATATTTTCGACAGCAAAGTTTGATGATAAACAACTAACATTTGAGTTTGATGACAAACCATTGTTCTTCATATTGTGACATCATTTGTATTATTTCTCATATATGCTCAGTAAGGCCATGACAAATACAGTGCCTCTTGCTGCAAAATAAGGCAGAGACAGGATTCCTTGGGTCTCTGATCCATTTCTGCAGGTCCTTGCTCAATGCTCATATATACGAATCCAGTCATAACTTTTACATGGCTGAATGTGTAATTAGATGGAGGACTTTGTAAGGTTAATATGGAATTTACCTTATTAAACAAAATGACCAAATTGCTGATGCAGTCAAGAAACCCAGACCATTAGGATTTGAATTAATCATAATTTTTTAATGCTATATGAAGTGAATGTGAACAAATGAATAAGCTTATAGTTAAAGAGGGAAGCAATTTAGCTTTGATAGACTTTTTGAGTTTCTTTAGACCTAGGTAAATCAATTTTCACATTGAAACAATCAATTAATATATGAAGTAATACGATTGTGAATTACAGTTCAATTCACTTTTTAAGAAATAAGCAATCAAATAGCACAGCAGAATATAAACATGGCAAAATACATTAATATCTTACATGTAAAACGTTTACATATCTTGGATTGCTTGTGGTTTAGCTAATGAAATGTGGTTTCTATTGATGGTTCTCTTGACATGTTATTTTCAAAGAATTGACATGGTAAGGTTTAAACTCCCTGAAGTACAAAAGGCCATTGGTTTACTGCACATTAAACTAATTCATTTGAAATGTTTTGCATCTAAAATATATATATATTTTTCATTTTTCAACAAAATGCTGAACTGTTGTCATTTGATTGCTTTTTTGGGTTTATTTCAACCTAATTGACAGTTCATATAATGTCACTCTTTTGTGTTTTATAGAATGTCGATAGTCAGAAGAGCAAATAATATTGTTTCAAACTACAATATTTTTTGAGGATGTCTTCCAAGGCAAATCGCCATAGTGGTGAAAACTTTAACTACAAAGACAGTGCCAATGGCAAAGATAGTCGTCGGGAGAGCAACAAAGAATTTAAACGAGAAATAAGCGTCAATTCCAAAGATCCTTCAAAGAGAGAAAGCAAGGAAAGCTTGAAGAGAGAAATTAATTCCAATTCAAAAGATGTATCTCGTAAAGAAAGTAGTTCCAGTAAGTCATCGGTGGTGCTGCGTGATAAACGGAAACAAGTGTTGAAGAGGGCAGAAGCATCAGATTCCGTAAGTGAGGTAAATATCAAAAAAAAAAATTTAAAGACAGACCCATGATTTATGACACCTCATGCCAGTGAGTTACTTTGTATGACAAAGGAATTTCATTTTCAATTTGCAGTCTTTTGAAGAATTTGCATTTTTTGTTGACAACCCTTGCAGAATTGAGAAATTAATGGTTTAGAATGCAGAATTCTATGCAGATATTGCAATTTTAGATGGAAATGCTACTTGTTTTTGTAGAAGGTAGCAAATCCTTGCTACTGGTAAAAAAGTTAAGGTCAATCCCTGGACCCGAATGAGCCACCTGGTGGTGAAACTGGTAACTGCCATCTCGCATCTGAGTTATTGATTGAAATCCTGCCTTTTGGTGGCTATGATGGTATAGCTTTAATTCTTCAGAAGAGAGTAAATCATTCCCTTGGTGGTCTAAATCAATTTTGCTTCATGTTTGATTGGTAGAACATCATCTTCCCTAATGGCTGCAATAAGTCGTGACAGTTGATGCAAAAAGGAGTTTGAGTTTTGAATTTATTGGGCAATTCTGAATACCACATATATCTTTTCTTAAGTTTTTAGAGTTTTGTCAAATACATGTTGTTACTTGTTTGGCCTACCTATCATTGTCATTTCTCAAGTCCTTTTTATGGTCAAAAATCTGATTATGACATAAAAAGCCATATTTTTGTTAATATACTGGTATCAGAGATAATGCTATATATAAGAATGAAATGAGGTTTTTATACCAGAAGTGGTGACATATTGTGACTTTTTTGTGGATCATGTTCAGAAGTCAGAGTTTGTAGTTTGATGTTCGGCATCTGTAACAAATGGCAGGTGGTGACATTTTGCATGTTAGTTTCGCATAGGTGCAATATATTTCAAAATTAGGATTTTGCATCTTGCTGAGTTCATTTAAAGTGAACCTGTACATCTGAAATCTTAACAAAATTATTTGAAAAAATAAAATGAAGAAACCCAGTTTAAATATTCTTGAAGAAAGTAGGTCAAATATAGTACATATCTGTATTGACTAATGTACGCGACCCACTGAAACATTAAGGTAATAGGAAGGTCTAAAAATACTTGGCATTTAGGTTTAAGGACTGCAGATGAAGCCTTTAGGGAATGATAAATGAGTGAAACCAGAGAAAATGAGTGAAGCCATGCAAATATTTTACTGCTGTCCATGTAAAGCTAGGTGAATTGAGGGAACTGTCAGGCGTATGACATTTTGGCTATTTCACTATTAACAGCTGATTTTGGATTTTATAACCATATTTGAAAATGTTAATAGTATTGCGTTTAGATCCATTGCTGACTCGGGGGGGGGGGGGTTATTAGTCCTGCATTTAATACTATGTACCTAGAGAAGAAGTTCAGGGAAGAGGACTTTATGGAGTGAAGGGGTCTTAATGCAGAAGATAATATAAAAACAATTCTTTAATAATATACCACCATTGCAATATATATGGCCACTTTGTCTTGAATTTTCTGAAGAGGCCCGAACAACCATTAGTAAGAGCGATTCTGGTAAATTAGACATAACAAAATCTGAAATAAGTAATATTGGTACCCAAACCCTTGTATCTCACTTATAGGATTAATCAGTACAAGTGTCAAGTATTGAATAATAGAGCATCGAAATATTCAATATTTTGTTTGTACAGTTCCAGATATTCTGTTAATATTGATTCTATATTTAATATCGCTTGCAAAAATAGCAATAATAGTTCGAATCAGATTGAATACGATATCATTTTTATCCATGAGAATAATGGAAAGTTTATGTAGATGTGAAAAAACAGCCAATAGCTAAATATTATTATTGATTTCTCTCTCACAGCTTAATAAAATCTTTCTTCATTATTTTAGCAATAAGTGTCTATGTGTTTGTAAATTACTTGTGATTTAACTTTGTGCTGTGTTTGTATGCTGTGTTTTGCTTGAGTATCTTATTCTCGCATCATACGAGTTGGGTGGTTTTTTAATTAATTCTAGTTTATATACAATTTTGACAACATGAAATATGTGTGGCAGCTTTCAATAGAATTCACAAATAAATATAAATTACATATAAATATTTGAGACCAGAATTGAATAGATGGTAGTGGCTGACTGGGATGTCTAATAAAGGTGTGTTTGACTTTTTTTGAAAATGTCAATTATAGACATTTAGAATTGTGATATTAAATTGAACAATTTCAGAATATTTTTTTATTAGTGGTTAGATCAAGACTGGTTTCTCGCAAAATAGCTCTAAAGGTTGATTATTGAGTCTTGCGGGTAATCTATAAATACAAGCCCCACTACTTGACCACACAGGTATGAAAACTTCTCACACATTGTGTCGAGCTGTGTAGTATGGGAGCAGAAAGGCTTGTAGCTAGACTTATCTGCGGGTTACACTCATACTGTTTTACTTGCATGAAGACCTTATACTTCACTCTCCATGAGTAAGAAAAGGGGGGAGGGTTACATGACCTTCTTTCAAGATATATTCTAAGAGAGTACATGGATTCCTGAAATACCTTGATGGATAAAGATGTGTCAGAATTAGACTCATGTTGATTTTGATATCTCATTGAAAATATTGTAAATGTAAGAAATAATCTAACAGAGAACATGTTCTCCCATGTATGATGCAGATGGTATGATGCCATTTTCCAAATTTTCAACTTTGTGTTTAGTTCACCTAATTTATTGAATGGGCATTTAACATGCAACATCTAACCATGTATCATCATTATGTTATGCCTGACCTTGTGTGACCTCATGTAATGAAAACAGAGCCTAGGGTAAGAGAGGGAATATCCCAGAATTCATGAACCTATCTACATATGAAGATGAACCTCTAGAGATTCATCTTTACATACCGACAGGTTCCTCTTTGAATTATGGGATATATCCTCCTCTTCCCTAAGGTAGCCTTTTACAGAACTATTTATGTATGTCTGTCATTATAAATATAAACATAGTCTAAACATGATGTAACTTTTAATATTTAGATACACCTTATGGAATTATGCAACTTAATTAATAGAATGTATTTAATTTAATTATGGATATCTGTTTGTCAAGTGATAAACAGACAGAGCACCCCCCCCCCCACCCCTCTACCCCACAGTCACAAAAAAGCAATTTTGTGAAATTTGTTGAAAAAACGATAACAACTCATAGTTTGAATTGCTTAGAATGCACCATGGGTAATGCAAACCCCAAAAATTGCACCCCCTTGACAATTGCTGGCTTTGCCGTTAAAGTGTTTAATCAATGATGAAATCTTCTATTACAAGACAGTTTAAAAATGTTTTTGACAATTTACTATTGTAAAGATAGCTTTAAATGTTAGAATCAGACTTTATAAAAGAGCGTATGTCTATTTTTCCCCTATTCCCTCAGCTCATCCTTTCTATATGCATGACTTTCTCTTGGACTTTAGTAGAGGCCCTTTTCTTTGAGTCAGTGGTTCTATAGGATTTTGTATTAAGGTAGCATGGTAGCAATGCTATTGCTTATATACATGCAGGGGTTTCATTAGCAGCAGGTAACAGGCGATTTTCACCTGTTGTCACAGAATCGCCTGTTGTTTCTAGGAACTTTTCAACTTTTCCATGTTAGATTTATGATTTCCATTAATTTTGCCTGTTGTTTTTTATTTATTTATTTAGCCTGTTGTGAGAAATTCTAGTGAAACCCCTGTATACATGTAACTCCAAAGAGATGAACTCTCATATAATTTCTTGAAAATTAGCCTTGATACCTCTGATGTTGTCCTATATAACCCTTAAGATACCCTTTGGCATTGTCCTTACGATTTTAATTTTGACCCTTTGCAGGAGTGATAGGCTAAAATGTCTATTTCTCTTATTACTTTACTTGCTGATAAATTACTGAACTTGCCAATCTGATCAAAATGTGTCTTCCCTCTGAGCTACAATTGATTGGTTAAACATCAAATTATTAATGATAAAGTTCGATCCAAGTCAGAGTGTGGTTTTCTAACTATTGAGATCAGGGTAGTTGATTTTGACCTTGCAGAAGATAGCAAAATGTCAAGCTGAACAATAATTTCAGGATTGATGAGTGTCCATTCTTTGTTGATGACATTCACTTGGCAAGTCTACACTCAATTAATAACAATATTCATCTGCTGTTTGTTCAGTCCTAAAGTGTCTATTTGAACTATAGATAAGTAGGACTGTTCAAAGCATTGGCTCATAGATAAGTGTCACTTATTGAATTAGAATCAATGAAGCATCTGGAACTATAGGGGAACTATACAAAACAACAATAATATTGTGTATTAAAAATAGTCAGGAAAATGCTGGTATGTATGCAATTTTAGTAAATAACAGACAAGTATATACATGTACATACATGTATGGGAATTAATCTACAGGTAATGATGATTTCATTTATGGCAAAAATATACATAAATGAGTAGATCTATGGTTCAGAGAAATTCAGAAAAGAAGTGGCTTGTTGTGTTAGAGAAGAGTCTTGGATATGTCTTAATATTTCAAGTAAGTGCATTCCCTTTGTAAAAATTTGAGTTAAAGGGATTTCTTGTTTCACAAAGTGTTGAATAAGAGTAGAAATTGATACCTTAGGTAAAAACAAAAATTTAGATAAGATTCTAATTAGTTTCATAATTTACTTTTGCAAAGTAGGAAATCTAGAATATCATATTCAATGCCAGACTTATTAAATCAACTTAACTCAAATCCACTAATATTTTTGGTCTTATACATGTATTAGTGCTAAAAAACATACTAGCTTGGTGGTACATGTTTAATAAAACTGTATGTTTTGATAAGGGAAAATATCATTCCGTCTCATATTCTGATTTTATTACAACATTGGACAATAGCTGATAAAACGTCAGTGAAGGATGACTGGTTTATGTAATCTGAAATCACTGAGGCGGAAAATGAATCTAGATTATAATTGATATGCCAATCTCCATATGAATCCTACCCAGAGTACCAGTACTGTATATTAGGCAGATGAAGCTG